ACATTAAGAATTCGAGAGCCTCGCCAGGCCACATAGTTCTGTAATATCTAATCCTAAAAACCACTGTTTTTTCATACTAGTTTTTTAAGGTTGTAAATAATGTATATATATATTGTTAAATAAAAAAAACTTGGTAAATCAAAAAAAAAAAACGGTTAGCGCGCAGGACTAGAGATTTGGGGGTCGTCGGTTCGATCCCCGGTTAGGGTAATATTTTAAGTTAACAAATGAGCGATTCCCGGTGGAAAGTACGAGAACACCATGTGAATTTGGAATAAGCCTGAGCCATGAACTCTAAGGTTGCTTGCAATATAACTGGTCTATATTTTAGTCATTATCGTACATTATCGTACGTCTCAGTATTATACTTTCTGCAAATTTCCGCGACTAGTCTGCCTTCAAATAAACCTGAGAATATATACAGAATAAAATGATTATCATATTGATGTCAAATATTGAGATGTAAAAAGAGGAACATTCTCTACTTGTTAAAATATTTTAGTTAAACTGTGTTAGGACTCTACACCATGAGAAACTAACCATAAATTAAAAAATTGGAAATTGATTGATCTGATCTAGATTTGGTATATTATTTTGAGAGCGGGCAAGTGGGGGACTGAAGTGAACCATAAATTTGCCAAGTATTTCGGAACCACATTGAAATTTCTGCATCACGCGCAGAATTAAACGACTCCCACGGGGGATAAGCCTATGGTAAAACCTTTCCAAACATTTTCCCCTGGCAGGCTGCGGCTGCGTACACCATAAATTGATCGATTTCATTTTTCAGTAGAATTATCCTTTACCTGCAAATCACTGATATATTTATAAACAGATCCGAGTGGCTATCCTCTTCGGTATTTGGCGATGAAAGCTGATACACAGCCTAATTACTCGAGTAAATTCACGTAGAACCGTGCACTGATTGTTAGCGGTTGAGTGTTAAATGTCAGTCATGATATCGTGTTTCCCGAGGGACACACTGAGAGATTCAGCATTTGGGCAAATTATTCTACTGGATTCAATTATTTCGGGATTGAAATGAGCTGCGGTGGGGAACAATTCGCTAAGGGAAATCGGAAATGGAAACTAAAATGGAAGAATTCAGTATGATACAAATCAAATATTCTTCACCGGTCAATGAAATCATCAGAACTCGTAAAAGTTTCGAAAATTAAAGCAATCGTTTGATACCTAATCTTCACGATGAAGAAGCCAATTTTCTGAAATTTTCGAGATGAATAAGGAAGGATCTAGACGGATAGGCAAGGCGATAATTCCTTGATCTATTCATGACCCAAAAAGATAATTCTGTGCAGAAATTCAGATCTTTATCTTGATTCCCTGATATTGATTAATTAAAAAACCTGTTGTTTCAATTTTATTTGTAAAGACCTAGTGAATAGTAGAAGATTTAGTGAGTGTTTTTGGTTGGAATTGAATTCAAAAATATATTAAATTGAGAATTCACATGAATTTATGACTGAAATTTTAATAAATTTTTAACAGTGTAGAATTATTTGAAATTTAATCTAATACATTTGTTGAGTTACTAGTCAGATCACGCTCACTCGCGAAACTATCACCGAAATAATCTGGCGGAAACGTTGTCTCCAGTTAATGACTAATAAAATACGCCGACAAAGTCCCTGTTGACTGATGGGTTTTAATCCCACAAAACTTGGATTTCCAGGAAGTATACACGGTATACCGTTAACACCATTTACGTACATATAAATGAAAGCCGAAAAGAATAGGAAAATGGAAGGGGAGAGTAGACTTTCGTGGGTTGAAACATTAGGAGAGTTACATTGTTTCGGATGTTAACCGTTGACATAGAAATTCCGAAGTGGATATGAAAGAGGAAAGGTGATGATGGGTTTGATGAACAATCGGGTGCTCCTCGTTTTTGTTATAACTATATGAGAGTGAAAGGAGATGAATAATCGGGAAATTTATTCCTTATTTCGCTCACGTGTTCGGTTAATTAAGAAATTAATTCAGGAGATTAGGCTTATTTGTTCCTCTAGCAATTTCATTGGATAACAATTTTTCTGCTTGATTTCTCGATACAAGACTATTATTTCGTGGAATCTAAATATATCACTTGCAACATTAAGAAATTTTATGGCGAAATGAAGGAACTCTTTACCTCCAGAATGTTCACCTACATTCCTGAGAATTTAAATAGAAATATTGGATTTTTTTTTATAGCCAGAAGCCTGTAATTTTTGTGTTACCAGTGCTAGGATTTTTCCAAAGAATTTCTCTGCGTGTACAATACTTAAAAACTTCAGACATTTACGATATTTTAGTGTTTGGAGCAAAAGGAAGAGATGAAAACTTCAGTGAAGCAAACCCGTATTTGTTTACCCGTTGGGATTTAGGACTTGCTCTTCGTAATTGTTGGAGCTCTACTGGAGTGAAACGAGACGCATAATGACCACATGAATATAAAATCCGAGCAATGAAAAGACGAACAAAAGGACGCTGTGTAATCCATCGGAATGAACTGTTGGTTGTTTTGTCTGGATTCAGTTGTTTAAAAAGTATCGACATTGCTTCCTCACCAGTGTTTGGAAGTGATTTCGATCTGGATGGCAGAGAATATATGAGGCTGTGACTTCCATGGGTAAATAGCCGAGAGAGAAAACTCAACTCGTCTGGCTTGAAACGAGAGAACGTTGACGGTAGTCGTAAAGTACTCTGTGCGGTTTTTAGTGCCCACAGTGGCACTGCACGAAAATGCCGCGAGAGTATCTTGCAGACTCAGTACCATTTCTCACTGCCACAGGAACCCTGGAAAAATTCTGTGATAACGATATCTAGTGATAAACTCGTGTGCCTCGGTTCAACTTCTACCGTTATCCAAAATTCAATGAACCAACCGTCTCAAGCTACAATTCCACTGACAACTTATAGACAGCTGATTTCCACAAGTCAATTACTTGTCTCAATTAAATTTCAAATTTGCCCATTAAACTATTGCAATATTAATACACACTCGAGTGAAAAGTCGATGCTACCATGTCCACGTAATTTTATATACTTTATATAAGACATTTATACCTTGGGAATTGAATGAACGCATTTCATTCCCACCGACATTTTGACATGAGAACTTTAGAAGCATTAGGACTAGTAAGTACCGGAAACAAAAAAGTGTTCCCTTAGTCTCTTATCAGTATTCAGTGAAGTTGTCGTTAATTGCAGGTGAACAGATAAAATTCATTGATAAAATGTAATTTCCCTCTGTAATAATGTTTGCTATATTTACATAAAAAGCACATGTCGCAACTGTTCCCGTCTCGAGTATTTTGTCACACGAGACTCTATATTTCGTACATGATTCTGCCCTCAATGTAATCACCAGGATATTGTGGATCAGGTGGTACTTACAGTGACCTTCCCTATCGGCGGAATGCATGCACCTGAAATTCATCAAAAAATGTGAAAGGATATTTTCCCATCTAATTGCCATAAAGTATAATAAACCCAGTGGGATAAAATTGAATGGCTGTCGAGTGGCAAACATCAAGGGCTTCCTACAACTTCCATCAATACTTCAGATACTCCAATATATTGAAAGCGCTCACCCCAATTCGTTACATTTCACTAGTTTCTCCTTTTACACCTTTCAGGCTCCATCACCCGCAGTGTCGCTATATTTCTTGAAAAGGAAAAAATAAAAAGAAGAGACAAACGAGAGCTGTCTACAACTCGGGGGCCCGCTGAGAGGATATGCACGAGAGTCATTTACACAACTGGCAGGCGTCATTACCAGCTTTTACTTTTCCACGTGAAAATCGACAAATTTCAAAAGAGCAAGAGAGACATCTGTGAGTCTGTTCATGTTTGTATAATACAAGTGCAAAGTGAACGAAAGAGAGAGAGAGTGAGAGATGGAGAGGAAAAATGTACGGCGCAGGGAGTTGAAAGATAGGGACGAGTGGAGTATGGTGAGGGCGAAGGCGGCCCCCTTTGGTGATTCAATTCGATACAATCAGAGAGTAGATTTCCACGCTTCCCAAATATATTGCTCTCATACCAATGGGAGGGAGATCAAGTGTGAACGCCAAATTCAACCATCCTGGACAGAAATTTATCGTTTAATTCGTCAATGACATTCTTCTGAATTCCAGGGCATATCGCTCAGGTCTTTCATTATCGAAAATGTGAGGTTTCGTGGTGAATTCATATTATTAGTGGCATTCCTCCAACCGATTGTTATCTCCATGACAGCTATTTTGACCATCTGGTGGCACTTCTGGGGGGTGACCCATTGTCCAGGAATACGGAAATTTCCATTACAATGTCTGTTAATTCAGCGATTGTTGGTACTTCGACTTTTATCCGGACGCCCCGTGTCAAAGTCGAAAGACATTGAATAATGTAATTTCATGGCAACTTGATAAGGAGCGTGAAAATAATATAGGCCAGCGGGACGGTGGGGTGGTAGGGGGGGGGGGGGGGTTACCCCAAGAGAGTACCGCAAGATGCGATGGAGGAGCTTATTGGATATTCCTATATTCAATAAAATGAACTACTATAAATGGCTATCCATATTATGCACCATTTGAAAAGTATTTTCTGGTTTATATTTGTCTAGCATGATTTTTCTAACATGAAGTTCTATTTCAAACTTTTTTAAAATTGTTTTTGCAATGAACTTGTGACGATTATTGTAATGATTATTTTATCAGAAGAGTAATTTCAGCCGTCCTTATCGCTTCCTGTTCTTGGTAAATATGTCCAAACGAGTCGAAGGAGTTAATAGATAACGAGACACTTTGTTGGATAATACCCGTAGCTTTAACACAGGGAACACAATTGTTAGTGCAATCAGCATGATATTCATATTCTTCGAATTGGTTGCTTTCACTGGGCACTTGGTATAATATTTGCATCACATTTTGGAAAACCTCTAATTAGTACTTATTTATTTTTCAGGTGACTGGATGTCTTGTGACCATAGATGATGTAGGCAGTACGTATGAAAAATCATTGATAAAAACTAAGAATGTAAAAACACTAGAGTCCTTGCAATTTATCAATTCAAAATTCACATGACGAAAAAAACTAATAATTTGTATTATCAAATTCTGTATTGGAATGTTCCAATTGGAATGAAATTTAATGCGCAAGTTGAATTTCATGCTCCCGTTATGACTTTTAGAGTAAAAATCGATAGTTTATTAATTAATGGCATTTTGTGATTGAACCACTCATTAAAATCAAGCCACTTATGCCACTCACCTGGAGCAAGTCACATTGGATAAGTCTGTCGAGGGTCCCTGGGTAAGTGAAATTTTATCTATGAAAATATTTCGCAAAATGACCATTAAATTTGGTAGATGAGTTACGTCGTGCGCAATGAAACTGAAGTAGGACAGCTGCACTTTGGAAGGATGTGTGATCCAGGAAGAAACAAGAGCAGTGAATTCGCGAAAGTAACTGAAATCTTTATGAAAGCAATGGGGATCGAAGATTGCGAAATGTTGAATGCAGTACGATACATTGTCCTACGTGTCTGCTGTAGAGATAGATTATGATGAAGTTTTTTTTTCAGGGCACATACGTGGCACGTGAGTCATTGAAATTGGACTGTGGAGAACTTGAGAAATATGTTCTTGATCAAGTGATGCCGATGGTCACAATTAACGGAGTAATCCAGGAACCTCCAGTGCAATTTGCAATATCGAACGAAAACGATCCTCAGGTAGAGAACGAGGTTGAATACGATATCGCCCATTATCTCATAAAGATCGAAGCATCTTTGGACAACGCAAATGACTGAATTTTCCTCCCGAAGATTTTCAATTTTCACGTTTAACTGTTTAGTTGATCGGTAATGGGTAGAAATGTATATCCTTAAAACCCTATTGGCTTGCTATTCAATCATTTTTTTTCATTCTCTCCATCACTCAAAGATGAAGGAGAAAGAATAAAAATTGAGGGATCTATCGAACTTACCTGTAAGTGACGATTGATCCATATTATACGATCTGCCTCGTCCGAAGAGATCAATCATGGTAGTAATGTTTTACTACGGTCTCACAGAATTTCCAAGTTCAAAATTTTTTTATTTGACGAATGCTGCCCCCTGTAATACACCGTCAGTATTACACCGCCCTAGTCTCATTTTTAAAGTTCATAAATCATAATTGTGAATTAATAACACGTGTCGTCAATTCTATAGGGTGGGATCCTGTCAAAGTTTTTACTTGTTGGGAGGGTTTGATCTCTTCGGACGAGACAGATCGTATAATCTGGATCAATCGTCACCTACAGGTAAGTTCGATAGCTCCCTCAATTATACTTCACTGTCTCGTCCTCGAGATCAAATATGGTAAATCTTTAAAGTCAATTATGATTTAATAGTCAAGAGAAGGGGATCTCTACCGAATTCTCCTGGTCCGTTTATGCACGAAGGTATTTTTTATTTTATTTATTTGTTTATTTATCCATTTTGTTCTACATTAACTGACTCGTCTAGTACCACTGCTCTAGCATATAGGTTATTATCTATTGGAAGACTGTAAAAACGTCTAAATACATTTAATCGTTCTGACCAGCCTGCAGCACTGTATATTTCGTTTAGACTCACGCTCTGCTGTCGTGCATAAGACGTGGATGCGTGGCGTGTGCTGTGTGCTGTATATATATTTGTATTAATACCACTTGCATTCAAGACATTTTTTAACCACCTACTGATTGTCTGACGAATCGCTGTATGAAAAGGTTTTTGAAAAGTTAGTGATAAATTATCATTCTCTAATCCTCGATATTGTTCTGTTATTTTTAAATAGTGCTGTAGAATAGATGCAGTACAAAGACTGGGATAGTCTGTAAAATATGGAGGAGTGAGTTTCGGTTGTACCTTGGTTCTTTCTGATGTTTTTGTTCTGTCTGTGATTGATATACTGATCTTATCCTTCAATATTTCAATATTTGACAATCTGATTGAATGAGAGTGTTTGAACTCTTTGAGCTGTACTCAGAGCCAAAAGCATTACCAATTTCTTTGTTATTATTTCTAATGAAAGATTTTCGTAAGGATATAATGGCTGTAAGTAGTTCAATACTACCTAAAATGCCTCACCTGGGGATTCCAAATTTTCGAATATTTGGGTGTCTTTGGGTGTAATGTGCTAGCACCCTTAAAAGAACGACTTAATCTAGGATCCGAAGTTACGCTCTGGCCAAAAATGAATGAAAGGGCTGCCATACAGCTATTGAGAGTTGAAAAAGAGCGTATTTCTTGTTCCTGGAGGGTGAAAAATTTCAATATAAATGCTATTGAATTATCAAATTATCAAATCAATTATCTTCCGAAGGGAGAAATAGAAAGGATGTCAACGATATCCTCAAAAAAATTCAATGTTGTGATCTTGGCAGAATGACCACCAACGCTTCAGCCCAGCGTGATAGTGTTTCATGGATGCTGGTGTTATTGATCGCTTGGCTGACAAACGTCCTGCCACCAGGGTAAGGCTCGCGTGTAACGGGTGAACTTCTCTAAAAGGTGATAATAATAATTCATCACTGGGTTCAAACAGAATTGGGTCTTCAATTAATAAACTGGTGAACGCGGGATACCAGCACTGAGCTGCCCAATTGGGAACAATTAAGATGCCTTCTGCCCTGTGAGTGATGATTTTTTGTAGCACCCTCAAAATGACTGAGAAAGGGAGGAAAGCATAAAAATACCATTGATGCCAGTCCAATGTAAAAGCATTGGTTGCATGAGCATCTGGATCTTTTAACCAGGATACGAATTTTCCGCATTTGTTATTTACACTGGAGGCAAACAAATCAATATCAAAGGGACCAAAGTCTTTGTATATTCTTCTGAATGCTGAATAGCCTTATTCTCATTCTGTTTCTGGAGGGAGCTTACAAGACTCTTCATCTGCCTCCACATTTTCTTCAGATTTAATGTATGAATAAAGATGTAAGAGAAAGACAGATATATTCCCTTGTAATGTTAATTTATGTGCAACTGGTTTAAGCAGTTTCGTAAAGACATATGGAGCTAAATTTAGTCCAAAAGGTAGGCAATTAAATTCAAAAAGAATTCCCCGGAACGAGAAACGTAAGTGTTTCCTGTGGGATTTTTCAATTGGTATTAGGAAGTATGCAGATTTTAAGTCGATTTTTGCTAAATAATAATGTTTGTTCAATAATCTTTGAGCCACTCGCAGATCCTCCATCTTGAAATGAGAAGCTTCACAAAATTGATTCAGTTTCTTTAACTTAAGGATAAACCGTTTTTCACCATTTGGCTTATCTACTAAAAAATATGATGATAAAAATCGATTGTGATTTTTGAAGTGGTGGTGCGGGTTTAGTTAATGCTCTACATGATTTTTCAACCGTCTCTGCCGTCCTGAGTGCATCTGTAAAGACTGTACCAAACAGCAACTTATCCAGTTTGTCATTCTGCTCGACTGCTCGTTTAACCAGAGGACTTAGTGTTGGGATCATAATGGCACCCCTGCTCAAGGAGATTTGGTGATGTAGATTGGCCAGTATCCAACTGGAGTCATTCAGAGCAGATATCATCTGCGTGTAGTTAACATCAATGACTGACAGCTCACCAGACTCTTTGGTTGTGAGTACTACCGGCATGCCATTGGCTAAAGCTGTCATGGCTGCTCCCAACTGATTTTGGATGTAGCACTGGTATGAGTCTTTTTTCAAGGCAACTGCGTTCAGAACTGCCTTAACCTCGGGATTTATCTCAGGAGGTTTTAAGGATGGACAATTTTTGGAAGTAGAATATTTTTTTGGCGATTCTTCAAGAACCTCTTTTTTTTTAACCCCTCCTGCAGAATTTTTGACCAACGTGCTTCAAGTGCCGAGTGAATTTCTGGACCAGGCTCAGTTTCCTTCGATGGGATTTCAACGAAAAGAGTTACTAAGTCCTCGGCCAGTGATTTCTCACTGCCCTTGAGGGTCTCAGAGACCTCGGCGTTGCTGTGCTGAGTTGGGATACTCGAAGAGTTTACATCCGCATGAGTTATCTGGGATATTTTGTTTTTTGGGGGAGCTGTATTGAGGTTACCTGAAGTATTCTCCACACCTGAGGCTTGCGTCCTCTCCCTATCGTTGTTTTTGGATCGGGTCCAGGGCGATTGGGATCTCGCAGGTTCTCTGCTATATTGACCTGTGCTCGGTGAAGTCGAGTCGGAATACCTGGGACGTGTCGTGCCTCTCAGGGCACGCTCAACGCTATATAGGTATTTTGACGCTTTGCGTCTCTTTCTGGTTTAATGAGGAGAATGTGATGATTCAGAGCTCTCAGGGGACTCTGAATAATCTGTTCATGTCGATGATGGTGATCTCCTCATACGTTTAGATGGTCTAGGTCGGGAGGACCTAACCTCGTCTTCTAGGCGACGAATTTTTTTGAGGATATCGTTGACATCCTTTCTATTTCTACGATGTTTCTTTTTATGGTGTCGACGACTACTATCCAGCGAACTCATGATGCTGTATGTACTTTTTTTTTTCGATATTTGATTCAAAAGCGTTTTCCTGGACTGCTAGTGACCGCACAGAAAAACATAATGAGTCTAGAGCGCTGTAATACTGACGGTGTATTACAGGGGGCAGCATGCGTCAAATAAAAAAATTTTGAACTTGGAAATTCTGTTAGACCGGCATAGTAAAGCATTACTACCATATTTGATCGCAAGGGCGAGACAGAGAAGTATAATTAAAAAACTAAGTGCTCACATCAAACAAAACGAATGAATTTTGCACAAACGACGACAAAATTTTCTAATTTTCGTGTCGTTAGTAGCGCCAGATGAACATGAAATTAATAGAATGGAAGGTATGTTTGTATATAAGAAAAAGGGGTCAGAGAGTCACAAAATGATGTCAAGACGTAATCCCAGCTTCACCGTAACCGTTACTGCAATTTTGCAAAGCACCTTTGGAAAATGCCCCGAGTGGAAAATTAGCTCAGGTCTGGATCAAGTTCAGATCAAGTCTGACTTGATGTTGGATCAGATACTGATCCTACAACTTGATCAGGACTTGATCAAGCATGTAACGCCTTGACTCGATCCGGATTTGATCAGGCGTGCCGAATCAGGGTTTGATCAAACAAAATGAAGTACTCCTTGATAACCCAAATTAAAGATGTTTATCAATGGTAATGAACTAAAAATAAAAAATTAATCATTCTTTCAGGTTATTTTATCTCTATCAATGGGTACCTAGTATAATTAATGCTGAAAAAATCTAATTATTTTTTCCGACACTGGGGATCGAACCGGGGACCTTACGAGTACTAATCCTATGCCCTAACCATTATACTATCGCGTTATTATTATTGCGCGAATTGTTTTGCTTATGCGATTTGTACTGGAGATATTGGTTCTCTTTATAAAACGAAAATTTACTCTATTAAAATTTCACCTATTTTACTCTTGATAATAATAATAATAATAACAAGTTAATAATTGAATTATTCAGGTCAAGCTCATCTGATCTGAACTTGATCCGAATAACTACTCGGATGGGACAACTTCAGGACAGGTTGATCAGATCAGAATCTGATTCGAGTATTTGCAGGTGGCTGGATCACAGTTAAAGTTCAGGCCCACCTGATCCGAACTTGGTCAGAGTAATTATAGGCGGGCAGCTCAATTTCAGATCACGTTGACCTGATCAGAACCTGGTCCGAATGGTTACAGGCGGGCGAAGTTAGTATAAGTTCCGCCCGACCTGATCCGAACTTGATCAGAATGATCGCAGATGAGTAAACCACAAATTCAGATCAAGCTCACCATATCAGAACTTGATCAGAGTAGTAGGGATCAGGTTGGGTAAATCAAAGACTGATCAGGTTCTTATGAAGTTCAGCCTGATCAGTTGATACTAACCATCGCCATATCAAGTTCTGATCAAACCTCAGGCTCGCCTGACATAATTTCCACTCGGGATGGTCGAAGACATCTCCAATTACAAAGCACTTAATTTAAACCCGAGGACAAAAAACTTTCAATTCCCGGACTGATTTCAAGCGCAGCGAACAAATTTAGATAAAAGTATCTAGCCTCAGGGGTTTGCTGAGGAGATAATTCTGGATGACCCTTCACAAAAAAAAAGTGAAATTCTATGCAGCGATGTTATTTTCGTGATGTACCCCCACGCCAGCACCTCTCCGTCCATTTCACCGTAATCAGCTGAGTGGATCGCTCGAAATTCCCCTATTCCTCTGATTCTCTAGTGTCCACAGCAACTACGATCTCACACATTCATGGAGAAACAAGAAGAACCGTCTCGACCACCTCCAAATTGAATATCATTTGTAGACGTTGCAGTATCAAAATCTATCCCTCTCACTGCTCCCTCATGTGCTGCCAACTCGCCATTTATACTTTTATATTCATTCCATTCCCGCAAGGTACGTTCCATTTTCAGCATAGAAATAGAAAAACATCGCGTACAGCTGGAAAACAACGGACCACAGCATTTGCCCAACAAAAACTATATGACAGCCCCGACGCCATTTTACAAAAAATACCTTCACGCCAATTGCTGCCAGCAAATGCCGATGATTGACTCGTAGGTTGTTTTTAGAAAATGTGGAATTGTTTTGGAAGTTTTGATTGAGTAAAACTAATGCCACTCATTGCACTAAAGCACAGTGTAGGAGTCACTATTTCAATGTTGATGTTGTAGAGGAGAAAAACAGGTACTCCCTTCAATATCATGAACCATCTTCGGCAGTAAAGTGTGTCGGTGGTGTTCGATTGCACG